TATATAATGGAGTGACTTCTGTTCATGTGTGATCCTTATCCAGAATTTTAAGAAACTTGGCCGTATTATGACACGATCCCCATAGGGCTGAGGACAGGAATATAGTTATTTTCTTGAGACAGATGGGAAACCTGAGAATGAAAATAATTAGGCTGCTTGCCAAAAGTTTTACACACACACACACACACACACACACACACACACACAATGAAGCAGGTACTATTTTAACTATGCCAGAGCCTCTGAAAGCATCAGTGTCTTAACCAAATTCATTTTCTCTATTTTTGCATTTCATTCTTTGAAATTTCTTATGTAAACCCTAGTTTTTACTGTTAAATAGAAAATAGTAATTGATATCTCTATGGGATACATTCTTTCTCGTATTTTTATAGAAAAAACAATCATAGACGTTGAATTGCTGAATGAAAGGAAATGTACATTTACAACTTTGACAGGTGTTTGACAGATACCTGTCTCCAAAAACAATATTCCTACATGTGTTGCATGCTACCCTGGGCCTAACTGCATGCTGAACACTTTGATTGCATTACGTCCTTGGAAGGTCCCTGGAAAAACGGTATGACAGCACTACCCAGTTTATGGATGGGAACACTGAGGCTTGTGTGGTGAACACAGCCAGAAGAGCCAAGACTGGAGCCCAGTTACACTCCTACCAGCAGAGAGTAGAGGTGCCCCATTCCCTTGTAAGCATAGGCACATTAGCAATCCTTATAAATATTTGCCAGTTTAAGTAAAATGTCTTTGACCTCCTGTTTCTTACATGCCCATCTAGGATAGGATCGGACATCTGGTGTGTTTATTGTCTGTCTGCATTTATAGTTTTATAAATTGCCTCTTTGCCTCCTCTGTCCCATTTTTACTAGACTGTTCATCCCTTTTTATTATTAATTTTCCACATATTATAAATAGTAATCCTTTGTCATGTGTTACAAGTCTTTTTTCTCCTAGTTTGTTTTGTTTAGCTTTCTGTTTTGTATCTTTTACCAAATAGAACTTTAAAGTTCTTAAATTACAAATCTGAGTCTCTTATGGCTTAAGAGTGTTGTTACTCTTACCCCATCCTAGGAGTATATATTTTTTCATAACTTCCTCCTTAACATTTACCTGAGATTATTTTGGTGTCAGGAATGAGGTAAAGTTATTTTCTAAAAGGCTAACTATTGTCTAAACACTATTTATTAATAATCTATCATTTACCACTGATTTGAGCTATGTTCTAAGCAAAATTGATTTCTGGTTTTGGATTCTTCTTGAGTTGGTAGCATGCTGTTTTAGTCACTGTAACTTAATGTTTTATTGTGTAGAACAAGTCTTCCTTCAGTAGAATTTTTGGACAGTTTTTAAGTATTTATTTTTATTTATATGCCAAATTAACTTTTTTTTAAAGATTTTATTTATTTATTTGACAGAGAGAGAGGTCACAAGTAGGGAGACAGACACAGAGAGGGGAAGCAGGCTCCCTGCTGAGCAGAGAACCCGATGTGGGCCTTGGTCCGAGGACCCTGAGATCATGACCTGAGCCAAAGGCAGAGGCTTAAACCACTGAGACACCCAGGCGCCCAATATGCCAAATTAACTTTTAAAAAGTTGTCAAATTTAAAGACTTCCTTTGGGGATGTTTATTGGGATTTTGTTGAATTTAGTTTAGAAAGAATTGACAGCTTAATAGTATTAAGTCTTTCTATTTCGGAAGTTCGTTTTTACATATCTTTTCATCTTCTTCAGTTGGGGTTTATAGTTTTCTTCATATAAGTCTTAACCTTCCTCTGATAAATTATTCCTAGTTTGGGTTTTGTAGCTTTGTGAATGGGGTTATGTTTTTGTTACATATTCTAAATGGTTCTTTTGATATATTAAAGATCTGTTAACTTTTAATGATTTACCATTGTCCATCTTACTGAACTCTGTTTTTAGTAGATTGGGCTAACTTCTCCTGAGTTTTCTAGTCATGTATAAAACATCTCCAAATCATGGCATCGTTGCCTCCTTCTCCCCCCACTCCATAGCTTTATCTTTTATTTTCTTTTCATCTCTAACAGCTTTGGCAAGTACTTTCAGAATAATAGTAAGCAATTGATAATTGGTCTTATTTGTTTTTAACTCTTATGGGATTTTTAAAAATCTATTTACCATTTATTTTTTGACCTATGAGCATAACGTTTTAGTCCTGTTAAGGAGACAATCTTCTACTCTTTCCAAAAAGTTTTTTATTGGATTACAAGTTAAACTTTATCTAATGCCTTTTAAACATATATTGAAGTGATCATATTTACTTTCTTTTACCTGTTAGTAGAATAAAATATAATAGGTTTTCTCATAATGCACTCATTGTTGTGCTCCTGGGAAAATTGCCCCTTGCTCAGAGTGGGTTTTTCTTTTAAGATAATGCTGAATAGTGTCAGGTTACCTGGGCGGCTCAGTCAGGTAAGCATCTCACTGGATTTTGGCTTAGGTCCTGATCCCAGGGTTATGAGATTGAGCCCTGCATCTGGTTCCATTCTGGGTGTGGAGCCTGCTTAGGATTTTCTCTCCCTCTCCTTCTGACCCTCCCTGCCCCAGCTTTAAAAAAAAAAAAAAAAAGTAATGTTGAGTAGTATAGAATTTCCTGGTTATCTGAGTGTCATTACTACTGAGAAAAATTCACATAAAATGAATTATTCAAAATGAGGACTAAATTTTGTTAATATTAAAAAGTGGGAGAAGGAGTTTGACAAAGCTAAAATTATGAAAAACTTTACTGAATGCATTTTGTTGATTTATCATAGGCACTAATTTTTAGAACATAATAACTTTTCAGATAAAATTCTATGGCAGAATACTACACATTTTATTTTTTTTTATTATAGTGCAGTTTTAAATAGGCTATATTTTGTAAGAGTTTGAGACTTCCTCGGTTTCTCAAGGGCCTCTCCCAGTATATTACTATTCAAGTGATTCTCTCTTAAAATGACCATCATGTTGTTTTCTATATCAAACTTCTTCTATTCACCTATGAACAGATCTAACTCTACTAGAGTCTTATCTACCACTGCCTTAAGGTTTGACTCTTGCCATTCACAAACATCACTTTCCATAGACTGCATGAAATTCTTCAACTTTTACAAGATTTTCAATTTTGCTTTGCAGTTAGTTTTTATTACATATTAAGATGTTCCCCATCCAAAACACCACATTCAAGAAGCTGAAAAGTCAATGTAGTGGGCAAGAGTAGACACTTATTAAGTGGGAAGGATTATTTGTGTTGGGGATGAATTGTAAAAGAACGGGAGAGCAAGGACCCCTTAACCTGAAAACCACTGATGTTTTCTAATATTGCTTTCCTATTCGCTTTGTAAGTATACGAACTTCAATAAGGAAAATCCCTGTATCAGTATTCATGAGTGAGCTGGATATGGAAGCAGGGGGGTACTTGTCCTGAAGTCCATAATTAGAAGTTAGTTGGTCCAGAAATTTGATGAAAGAAAATATTTTCACTAAGCTGTAACGCAGATATAGCATTTTCTTCCATTGTTAACTAACCCACTGCAGTATTAGTGGTAATTATGTTTGTTGTCACCATAGAAATCCTGGGTGTTTTCATACTGTATTACAGATTTTACAGATTTTTTAAAAATTTTTAATGGATATTTTAAAATGCAACTCCTACTTCACTACTATTAAATGTAACTGCTGCTAATCATGACTTCAAAATTATTAGAGTGATCAGGTACAACACTAAGTAATTTCTTAAAAATACATATATATTTCTCACTTTAAATTTAATATTTTGATACTTGATTTCCTTTGTAATCATATATATATATATACACACACACACACACATATATATATAAGATTAAAAGATTTACTCTAAGAAGGGATCCATAAATTTCACTAGACTAAGGAGTCCGTGACATGAAAAATGATCACAAACCCCTGGTTTCTTTTTTCTGATATATCTTTGGATAAATCTGTTCTGTCTTTTAGTCCTAGGATTGTATCACATAGTTCCCTTTAAAAAAATGGGGCACTTTCTTTTCTCTTCTTTTCTGCAGCAGGTTTAAATACTAATATCATCTTGTTTTTAGAGGCTAAAAATAATTCACCCATGAAACCATCTCGGCATGGGTGATTTTTGAGAGGCAGTTCTAAGAAAGTCTTACTAATTTATTTCTAAAAAAATTGTCTATTTGGTGTATGTAGCTCTTTAATTTTGGTCATTTGCGTTTTCATGGATATCTTCAATTTCTTCCAGGTTTTTAAAATTTCTTAGCAGATTATTCTTGCATTATTTCTTGAATTTTCTTTGCATTGAAGTGACTAATTGCAAAACATTGTTGAAGGAGTAATCTTTATTGTATTAATCATAAGTCACCATATACCTTGGGAAAGTTCTAGTATAATTTATCTGGAAGACATAATTTGCTGTCTTTAGATAGTGCCCAGTTTTGATTCTTCAGACTAAGAGTCAACGATTTTTAAAAATGTGAATGTGGAAAAGGAACTTTGCATTATGTCCCGGTTAATTTCTACCCATTCCAGAGATGGTGTTTGGACTGATGCTTTTGGGCAGTGTTATTGTGCTGCGGCCTTTCCTCCTTCTGTTTGTGAGGATGGCAGAACAAAAGGCGAATAATGAGAAATCTGCTTCACTTCCAGTAGTTCTAGCCAGCGATGGCCCTGAGGTCCCACACTGTGGGACAGGAGCTAGAAAGCCAGGCTGATGTCCCATACTGGAACATTAGAACCCTGGGGGATCCATGGTCTGTGCTGGAGAGCCAGCTATGATCGGGCAATGGGGATCTCAGAGTTCACTTAGGTCCAGCCCTTAGACACGAAGAGCCCTAAGGTCACTGGCAAGCATGGTGATGTTCTGGGGTGTTTTGCATCTTGAAGAAAGAAGAAACAATTTAGAGAGTATTTGAGCTGTTAGACTTTCTCTTACATTAGATACAGCTAGTTTCATTGCGCGTACTCTTTTCCTTTCTTTTATTGTACAGCCACTCTGCAGAGAGACCGAATCTTCAAACATTTCACCAGGAAGCGCCAAAGGGCTATGCGAAGGCGAGTCCACCAGATCAATGGACACAAGTTCATGGCCACGTACCTGAGACAGCCCACCTACTGCTCTCACTGCAGGGAGTTTATCTGGTAAGAGGTTCCCTGGCTTCTTTCTTCCTCCGAGCTTCTCTCTAGGTTGTGTGTGGTTTCAGAAGGAAGTGTGATTCTCGAGAGTTGTTTCAGGATAAGATTTTTGCCTTTTATTCCAATATGTTGGCCCAGTAATTTGAATTCCCAGTGAAAAAAAAAGTCTAAACAATTTACGGATCCAAGGTTTAGATGTTATTTCTTTTTCTAGTTAATTGGGGAAAATGCTAATGAGTCATGAACTGGCTAAAGAGCATGAATTAGGAAGGCTAACTTATCAATATATGGATAATCAATAAATTGGATAATTGGCCACTGAGTAAGAGAGAAACGACAACCATATTGCTTTAAAAAAGTAGGACTCACATGGTAAGTCATAGAACTTAGTTGGTTGTAAGTAAAGTAAACACAAAGTAATCTTCAGCCTAATGGTATGTGGCCAAAGGTAATGACTTTCAGTGATTGCATACTATAATCCTTGGCATTTAGGAACTGAGATAATTTACAGCCCAGAAATTCTAGGTGAATTGGGGCAATAGCTTCCTATATGCGTCACCAAAGCTGAAATTTCAGTGGCAAATCTATAATGTAAAATAAATTGAAGTTAATAGTTACCTTTGTTTAGAGCCAACATTAAACACATGTATTTGGAAAGAGAAGGAAATTCCCCCTCGTCCACCTCCAAACATGTACACATACATACCCATCTCTGTAGGAGAAAAAGACAGGTTAGTATCCATAGCATAAAGGGAAATCCTGGTTGTGTTGCAAACCATTCTCATTTTGTTTAAGTCAAAAGCACTTGGCTCAGAGTAATTTTTTCAAGTACTGATCAGTGAGTTTGCATTTTTTCGTTTTTGTTTTTGTGTGTGTATATGTTTGATTACTTTGGTTTAAAAGTGCCTGCTACCTTTTAGCAGTCAGGATCCAGGGTTAGTGTTTTTGATGTTTTAAATTAAAAATAGAGCCTTGTCCCAAGATGGGATCAGGAGGGAGACAAACCATAAGACACTCTTTTTTTTTTTTTTTTAAGATTTTTATTTATTTATTTGACAGAGAGAGATCACAAGCAGGCAGAGAGAGAGGAAGGGAAACAGACTCCCTGCTGAGCAGAGAGCCCGATGCAGGGCTCGATCCCAGGACCCTGGGATCATGACCTGAGCCGAAGGCAGAGGCTTAAACCACTGAGCCACCCAGGTGCCCCAAGACATTCTTAATCACAAACAAACTGAGGGTTCCTGGGGGGTGGGGGGGTAGGGAGAGCGTGGCTGGGTTAAGGACTTTGGGAAGGGTATGGCTATGGTGAGTGCTGTGAAATGTGTAAGCCTGATGATTCACAGATCTGCACCCCTGGGGCATATAATACGTTATATGTTAATAAAAATAATTAAAAAAAAAAAGAATAGAGCCTTGTCTAAACCAAGGACCCACAACTGACTGTTGGTATGTTGCTGACAGATGTGTCATCACAACTGTAGTCTTCAGAAACAAGTTCCTGGTGCATTGTCTATTGAACAAAATGAAAAACTCTAGCATCTTTGAGCTCATTTTCTACTCCTATGGTCATCTGCACTGGCTAGTTAGTTGGTGTCCTCCACTCTCCTTGTGGTTTTCCTGATCTGAAAGGTCTGCTAGTCTTCATTTCATGTCACACCGGTCTGCTTCCCTCCTTTATGTGACCTGCCTGCCCCTGTGGGCATTTGTGGTGACAAACTGTGACCTCAGCTAACGTTCTCAATGGAAACTTGTTTGATAACTTCACTAAATTTTTTCCACCAAGGAAACATTAACTCCCACTCAACCAGCCTTCGCTTGCATGCTCTCTTTCTCTCTCTCACATACAGAGTATTACTGTATGTGCTACATATATGTGGTTAAGAGTATGGACTCTGGCATTCAATCTCATCACCAACTAGCTGTGTAAACCTAAATAAATTATATAATCCATCAGTGTCTCCTTATTTGTAAAATAAAGATAATTTTATTTTACTTATCTCATAAACTTTTATGTGGAACATAAAGTTTTAGGCACTATTCTAAGCATTTTACATTACCACCTCTCTTTACCTTAATGAAGACCCTGTGAAGTAGGAACTGCAGTCATTGTTGCCCTCTGTAGATGAAGAAACCATGGCTCAAGGGAGTTAGCAATGTGCCCCCAGTCATGCCCTGGCCATCTGGTTTCAGAGTCTGTGCTCTGAGCCTTCCCATGATGCGTGCTACCTCGCAGGACTTTTGTAAGGATTAAGTGAGATGCTGCCCATCAGCGGCTTGGCTCAGTGCCTGGCACATCCTCCAGGTTTAATAAAATGTGGTCTGTGTTAAATGAGAATGAGGATGATATCATCATCGCCCAGAGAATATACTGGGGAGAGGCCAGCATGATAGCCGTGGGCCTGACAGGCATCCTGTGGCAGCATTTCTGTCCCCACCCCCGGACTCCAGGGGTTACGGGGGCACAGGGAAGAGGGAGGGTGCCTCAGGCCAGGCAGCTATGGTGGGCTCACCTGTTTACTTCACGGCCTGCCCATCTTTATGTGTATGCGAGTGAGAAAAGGCGCTAGAGTGACCCTTGTGGCTGAGGCTTTGTCACACGACCAGCTGAGGACTTGGGCTTTGCCACAGGGGGAGGTGGGCAGAATGAGGACCACCCACACCCACCTGTGTACATTGCTAGAGGATTCAGGTCGTCACAGGACATCCTCTAGGTCTTGTGGTAACAAGGGCTCAGAAATCACCTCATCTTTGCTGCTTCTCTGAAATTATGTTTCTCAGGAAGGAGCAGAGGATGGCATGCATTTGTTTTCCTGAAGTACTATGATCATAGGGGCGTTGTTGCTGTAGTAGACTGATGATAGCTTTTCTCTATTGTCTTGAACAGGGGAGTATTTGGGAAACAAGGTTATCAATGTCAAGGTAAGAAAACATTTCAAAAAATGTGTTTAATGTTGTTCTTATGTTAAAGACTGGTTATATTTAGAGGAGACAGGATACATTTCATTAATATTGTAATAGATTACTCTGCCGATCAAGGGACACTCCCATTGTAAGTATTTGGTTGTGGTTTAAATTTTGGCTACATTTTAGCACAGAGGGGACGTTTTTATTTCTAAAGCCGAGATACCTAATAATGTTGAATTGTTTAAAGTTTTGTCTCTGAGATGACGTGAAAATACTGAAAGGTAGTGCCATTTTGTGATCAGTACCCTTAAATCTTGAAGCTAAATTTTTGTTTTTCCCAACCCCATTGTTACTAAGGGTGAGAAATGACACAATGTTGTCTCTTAACCTGTGTGGAGAATGCAGGGCGGGCAGGGGAGGGCAAAGTCTTGCTCTAGGAAGAGCAACCAGTCTAGTTTTTATTAGAACAAAGAAAGGTAACAGGTAAGCTTAGGGGTAGCTTCTGGAGGGCCTGAAACCTGGCTGGGAAATTTGAACTCGACTTATTGGCAATGAGATGCCATTGAAGGTTTAGATCGTGAGGCACGGTGACCAGAATTATACCATGAGAGGATTCCTGTGGCCATGAGTGTGGGCAGGTGGAAAGCCAGGAAAGATGAAGTAGGCTCAAGACTTGAGTGCAACTAGTTTGGGTGTGAGCAAAGGCGTGAGTTAGGGGGACGGTAATGACCGTGGGAAGGATGGGAAGGCTGGATGCCATAGAGTGGGCCAGACACCAAATCAAGTCACTTTGACATGGTGTGGCCCTTGTTGACTCTACTAGAACTGGCAGATCGTGAGCCTCCAAGGAATGTATAATCATGCATTTCATTCCCTAGTGTGCACCTGTGTCGTCCATAAACGCTGCCATCATCTAATTGTTACAGCCTGCACTTGCCAGAACAACATTAACAAAATGGATTCAAAGGTAAGAAGATAGAACTTTGCTAACTAAGTGGCGGCACGAGCCCGCTCTCTCTCCTTGCTCCATCCCCTTTCCGCTTCCCTTCTGCACTCCTTGAAGTGAATGGTGGCATCAGAATAGAATTTTCTCTCCTTTTTATATTATGCTTTTTTTACTTCTGTGCTTGTGTAGCATGACGTCTCCGTGGGTGGATCCCATAAGTGATCAGCTGGTTACAAGCCTTCACGATTAGTGTTTCTGATTTGGAGAGGGGTTTAGAGGACTGAAAAGATTCCTGAGTTTGGCCTCACACCACCAGGATTCGGGTGCAAATCCAGCCTCCACTAGCGAGCTTCTCTGTCAGCCTCAGTCTTAGAATGGGATCCGGATTTCCTTCATGCGCTTTTTCAGTGAGGCTTCCACACGATAGAACTGATGTGACAAATGTTTGTTAACTGGAAATTGTGCTTCCTCAATAAGGCGACTCTTAGCCTCCTCCGGTGTCTTCCAAAATCTCCAGGAGGATGCACTTCCATATATAAATGCTTGAATCTCATTCCCGTCGCTCGCATTGCATTCAGCTGGGGAGGGCACGTTCTAAACTGTGGCGACAGAAAGCAGCTGGAGCATTGCTGACAATGAGCCGTGGGTTTACAGACGCATTGGAGTCTGACTTTGAGCTCAGGGATTGCTTACAGGACACATACAGGGTTGCTAAAGGTCCCTTGGAGAGCTACGAGCCACAGCTTTTATGAGAAAGAGACCAGCAAAATTCCAAGAGGAGTCATAATTGCCCTACTCCTTGTTACGTTGTCGTTTCAAATGGTGACGTAACTGTAGTGCGTATGCCTTGTCTAATTATTTGCTGGAAAGCGTTTGTGAGATGAAAGCAGGACCTGTGCCCTCAGATTGTAAAATGCAAATGGCAGGCACAGCTGGGGAGGGCCAAGTAAGCTTCTAGGATGTCGCTGTGGGGTGAGTTCCTTCTGTGGTTCTGTACTTGCTGGGTGCCACCTTCTTCCCTTGGCCCCCACCCAGCACACTATCTGGGAAAGCCTGTGGTAACAGCGAGTGTAAGGTCAGTAAGAGACCTGTTTGCTCCTGCAGTTAGAAGGGTTTAGAAACTAGACATGGGCACGAGGGAGTTGGCAGGGAGAGAAATCCAGCCTGAATACAAACGGTGATCCAAAAAAAAAGGTTTTCATTCCTCTTTATCTCCCCAAATGGTGAACCATCTAATGCCCACCACTACGCCCTTTCTTTTGAGTCTTGTTGATGAGAAAATGTGCTCAGCCTGGTGAGGAAGGCCAGAGCACAATGCAGTAATCTCCCCAGCTCAGGTGTCATGGTAACACATTGCGTTTGGGGAGCTCCTGTTACGGTTTCTGTCAAAGATGTTGGCACGGCCTAGCTCTCGTCCTTCTGCTTCTTTTTTTGTAGATTGCTGAACAGAGGTTCGGAATCAACATCCCGCACAAGTTCAGCATCCACAACTACAAAGTGCCAACCTTCTGCGATCACTGCGGCTCGCTGCTCTGGGGGATCATGCGACAAGGACTGCAGTGTAAAAGTGAGATGCTGGGGTGCTGGGTGCCCACTTCATGGGAACACCGCGCCGCGAGCTCTCGGAATTCTGCCGGCGCGGCTTCTGAGCTGGCACCGATAGTTTTAGACACTTTGTGAATTAGGTCTTCGTAGTTCTAGGCCTATATATTCCTTGTCAGCCATGTACGGGGAGTCACCTCTGGTCCAAAGACTTCCAGCTGTAGCTCCAGTCAGTTGTTAAATTCAGTGTTCTGTCTAGCTGGCTCTCAGCTGCTTCGTGCTGAGGGCCTGCTAGTTGCTGTGTATTGGCATGGGTATTTGAAAGAGGGAAAAGTGGGATCTTGGTCCGAAATGGAAGGTGGTAGGAGGTGAGGTGACCAAAAGAGAGACTTCAGTTATGAGTGAGAACTGGCAGGAGAGTAGGTCTAGTGACCTTCCCAGAAAAGAGCAGGACCTGAGTCAAAGCCCAGTGAGAGCTGCCCTGGGTCTCCTCGAAGAGACTGATAGAGATTGGAGAGGTAGGTGGGGTGAAGGATGTTTCGGCTTTGGCCGTGGACTTGCACGCCACTAACTGTGCCCAGTGGAGCTTTTGCCTTCGCCAAGATTCTGAGAGCAAGGGGTGATTCCCCTCCTGTTAGGAGTTGGGGAGCTGTTGAGTCATTTTCTCTTGGGTATTGCTGTAACAATCCAGCTGTCATGGGGTGCAGCCCCCTGCAGGAATACAGGCGGATTTCGGCCTGAAGCTTTAGATAAATCCTCAGTCTCTGGGGGAGGCCAAGTTGATGTCAGTGCAGCCGGACAGTGTCCGTCGGCTGCCTGCACTTACCGAGCCTGCTTCTGCCAACAGAAGGGGACTGGCCCCTTGCAAAGCCTTTCATCTCTTGAGAACATCATTTCATAATTCATTTTTTTCCTAGATACATGAAGTAATTCTTTTTCAACCCAACCAGCGACTAGCTCATGCATGGCTTTGGTTCAGGCCCTGCCTGATCTTAAGCTGGGTGGTCTCCTCTGGGCGTGGGTTTCATGGCAAAAGTCACTTCCTGCTCTTGTCTGGTTGTTGCCGACATGCAGAGCCATGCGTGGGGCTCCACCACCTTGTTCTTGGGCCTCGTGGCCTGGGGTGGGGGTGGGTGGGTAGCGCACAGACAGTGAGCCATCTCCTGTACTCTTCTCTTTTATTGTCACTGGTACCTTAGAAAGGGCACCGCAGCCGCCTTCCTGAGAGCGGGGGATTTCCCAAGAAGAGCTACTGAGGCTTCAGCCTCAGGGGCTCTCCCTTGCAAGGGTCCCTTCACAGCTCTCCACTGGACTGATATTCTTTCTCTTAAAGAGGGCACCCTAAATCACATTCAGACCCCCCAAACCCAGATCCGGGCTTGCTTCCAGAGCTGGGTTGACACCCCAGATATGGGAATTTGTTGCCCACTCTTTCACTTCTGCCTCCCATCCGCTGGGCCCACGTGAGGAAACTGTGTCCGAGCTTCCTGCTGATGAAACCTCGGGTCCCTTCATCAGCCCAAGTCTGTTTTCTATGTACCAGGAATGTACCTGCTCCCCTCTCCTTTTCCAACTGCTGTTTATTTTGACCTTTAAAAAAAACTCGCTTTGCCCCCCCATGAGATATACCCACCGGCTGCAAGCCCTGAGAACCAGAGGCTCACAGGATGTTGTGCCCTGGGCCGCCAGGGCTCCCCGACCACAAGAGCACTCAGAAAGCGAGCTTCACTTGGAGGCTTTTCTCTCAGAAACAGCATTCCCCTCCTGTTTGAACAGCCATCTCTACGTGGCATGGAGATTGCCACCTTTTATTGAGCGATCCAAGGAAAAGCATAAAGTCAGTTGGTACGATTCCTTGTTAGTTAATTGACTGAAATGTCACGGTGATGAACATTTTGATTTCTGTATTGAGTCTTGCTGTTAAATCGGCAATGACTCTTACACAGGATCAAGGTAAATGTCAAAAAAGTGCATCTGAAGTGTGTTATCGTCAGCATGCCAGGCTTGCTGCCGCTGTGTAAACCAGCAGGGGAGCAACGTCAGGGTTTGTTTTGAGCGCAAGTCCAGTTTAACAAGAGGATGGCATAGTTCTGCCTGGATCATTCCCCTGGCCTAATCTTTCAGGTTATTAAAGTTCTTTTTTGCAGCATATGTTGACTTGGCTCCTTGCTGAACCTGGATTCCCTTCTCTTTCCCGCCCCCCTCCAGTCTGTAAGATGAATGTCCACATCCGATGCCAGGCGAATGTGGCCCCGAACTGCGGGGTCAACGCGGTGGAGCTTGCCAAGACCCTGGCCGGGATGGGCCTCCAGCCCGGAAATATTTCTCCAACCTCGGTGAGACTTGGCTTTCTTCGACGTATTGTAATTTAGAAGTTGTTCAGATGTGGTGAGTCCGAATGAACGCATGCGGCATGATCCAAGTTCCTAATCTCAACAAACACAATAAACAGATTTATTGTATTTTTAAAGACCATTTTGTCCCACAAAAAAGGTTCTTTATACAATGATGGGACAAGAAATCACAAGCATGCAGATGTAGCAGGAAGTAGAAGGAGGATTTTTTTTTTTTTTTTAATTAGCTTCCTGTCGGTGTGGTGTGGTGAAGCTCTGAGTCCAGGGCCTTGGGTTACCCTCTTTGCCGGGGCCCAGGCAGGAGAGTTGACTGGCGGCTACGGGCCTCAGCTTCCTCCTCTCCAAAGGGGTTGAGCTCGATCTCTGAGATTCTCCCCAGCTCTGGAGTCTCACCCTTTCTGCAGCTTTTGTTTGTGGATTGTGCATTTATCTCTCAAGTTCAGCAACAAACAGGAGTTCCTTCCTCTCTGCTCTTGGGAGTGGGTGGAGTTGTCTGTTGCTTTGGGCATGTTTTGTCTCACAGCCTCCCTGAGTGACCTCCACTCGCTGTTGACCCTTAGAGCCTCGACCACTTCCCAGGCCTGTGTCCTCTTGCTGCCTTCCTGGCTGGAGACTACAGAGCGCTGGGAAAGAGCCGTGGCCCCTGTCGTGGTGTGTGAAAGCTGTAGCCTCATATCCGGTTTAGGAAAATTCTAGACTTCCCTGTTAAATATCTTTGTGAGTTCTTAGGAGGGGAAGCACAATCACTGTGAAGTTCTTGGTTATTCAGAAAATGTCTGTACTCACCATCCCATTTTCCTTATTACTGGTTGATTAGGGACTTGAAGTGAAATTGTATTCCTTTATTTCAGGGAAGCATCAGCAAAGTGTAATGTCTACACCATGGACAGACAGGCAGGTTGCCAACACCAGGAGGGGGATTTCTAATGTGTGGGATGGCTGTTCCCAAATGGCACAGATTAAGGATTTTGGCCTGCACCAGTGCTCCTAAAATGTCATGGGAATAAGATAGGCCGTGTGGCACAAGTTGTAGAATGGGGAATGCCACTTGTCATTTGTCACTTGAACCAAGGATCCTTAATGTTATATTTAAAAGTGGAAAAGCCAAAATTACCTGTCATTGGACAGCACAACATGAAACAGAATTCTTAAGTCTATCCAAAGAGAAGAATGGGTTAAAAAATTTTTTTGAGAAATACTGTCTTAGAGTTTTCTAGCCCAAGCAGAGGAAGTATTTAAGTGGAGGAAGTGAGACTCAGGCTAGTAAAGTTTTTCTATCTTTGAAATATTTATGATCGGAGACCTGGGGGGAGAAACTACTAAAAAACAATGGGATTTTTAAAGATGATCCATTTTATATATGTAATCACTGTTTTATTGGGTTGAGTAAGTCAAAGCCTTACAGCTTTGAGCAACTGCACAGTTGTTGTTTGTTGAAAACTTTACTTAGAAGTTGTTCCAGATAAGCTGGGGTTTCTCAGCTAACTAGGGCAAAGCTTCAGAGCGTTAGACTTTAGATCTATTGTCTAGATCCAAAGACAAGGTAGCTTGTCTTGCATGTCCCAAGGTGGACCTCTGCAAGTCATCTTGCCCTTAGGGAGCTCCCTCCTCGCTGTGGCTGGACTTGGACCAGTGAGACGGGGTTATCCATGGGGGAGGCCACCCCTATTTCTGGTTGAGTATGGTGGGACTGGAAGGGGCCCTGGTTGTGCTGGTCATCAGCCTTTCCAGAGAGCCAGTTGACTGTGTATCAAGAGTCTTGAAGATTAACATTTTTGGCTTCAAAGATTGCATTTCCAGGAAGTTATCATAAGAAAATAGAGGATGCTTGTGATCATGATGATAATGACAGCAGCTCAGTTCCCGTGTATTGAACCTGCCAGGCACCGATCTAAGTGCTCTATGTGCTTTCTTTCATTCCTCATAATATTTTGTGTGGCAGGTGCTGTAACATCCTCTTTGTTAGAAGAAACTGAGGCCCAGAGACGGTGGGTTGGTAACTTGCCCAAAGATACAGGATTAGGTTACTGAACTGTGATTTCAACCCAGGCGGCTTGCTTGAGAGCAATAGACTGTTAATCACCCTGCTTTGAAGATTCGCCTGCAAGGATGTTCATGATGCTGTTATTGAAACTGGCAAAAGATGGGAGATCACCTGTTTCCAATATGCAGGGGAATCAATGAATAAACTGGGATATATCCATCCCTAAAACAGAATACAGGACAGCCCTGAAAACTCATGTTCTTGAAGGTTATGGAAAATACACATTACAGAGTGTTAAATAAAAATGTCCATTATGAAATCACAATTTTATTATATTTTTCAAAATTAATCAAGTGTAGAGGTAGTTAATGTGTATATGTGTAATTGCTTTTATTTTTTATTTTTTGAGGGGGGGCTGATTAGAGGTATTTCATTTCATCATACATTTGTTCACTATTCTAGTTTTTATATTAATTTTTATTTCTCTTATATAATTTTAAATACTGTGTAATGAATATTGCTTCATTCATTCACATCCTAGTATAGATCCTTTGAGCAAAGAGTGAAAACCATTCTTTGAATGACATGGACACCAGGTGGCGCTCTTGAATCTGACCATCCTGGGGAAAACCACCAAGCCACTGGAGGGACCAGACTAAGGCGTTTGTTTTATACACTGCTGTCTGAGTTCAAACTGAAACTCTCGATGGCTCAAATATATTTTAAAATGATTCTTTCCAAAATATAGTAAGCACAGACCAGGAGCTGGAACTAAGGTAGTGTTGAATGGCAGAACTTGATCCCATGTCAAGCTGAATGGACCTTTCCCCATCTGCTGTGTTGAGAGTTAAGGCGGCAGATAAGGTCTTCTCCATCCATAACTGCTTCGAGCCCATGCTGCGACCTCTGACTCCCTGCTTTCCTACTCTCCTTTGCAGAAGCTCGTTTCCAGGTCAACTCTAAGACGACAGGGCAGGGAAAACACCAAAGAAGGAAATGGAATCGGGGTTAATTCTTCCAGCCGACTTGGTATCGACAACTTTGAGTTCATCCGCGTGTTGGGGAAGGGGAGTTTCGGGAAGGTGAGTCTTGGCTTCTGAGGCATCTGGGTTAAAGTTAACATGCTACACGTATGTTGTTTGAGTGTGCGTGTAACGTATTCATGCTCATACTTGCCAACCGCCAGGCCCGTTCTGCCCCATGTGTTCCCACATCCTAAGGATTTCAAGACTTCTCACACCTGTGCTCCCTTTTCCTGCTTTGCCACAGGTGATGCTTGCAAGAATAAAAGAAACAGGAGACCTCTATGCTGTGAAGGTGCTGAAGAAGGATGTGATCTTGCAGGATGACGACGTGGAATGCACAATGACGGAAAAAAGGATCCTGTCCTTGGCTCGCAATCACCCCTTCCTCACACAGTTGTTCTGCTGCTTTCAAACCCCTGTAAGTAGGACTCACATTAACCACCTCAGTAGCCTCCTTTCTTAAAGCGATGAGACAATAAGATGTTAAAGATTTCATAAAGAAGTGCATCAGACTTTTGAGGGATGAACTCTCATTGTAGGGCTGAATGGAGGTACCAGTAACTTCTGATGGCCTTTGGGAGAAAGTTGAAATCCATGAACTAACTGCTTACTGTCATGGTGTCCTAGAGAAGGATCATCTTGAAGGTTGAAAAGGTCTTCGAACATAAGTCTTCTGTAGCAGAGTGAAGGTTATGGAAATCTAAGAACAGAGTAAATGTCATGGGCTGCTTATCCTGGTGACTTTGACCTTGGCTCTACCCCTAAATGCTGAGCTAGTTATGACCTTGTCACAAAAGTTCAGATCAGGGTAGGTTCAGAGAGGAAACTTAATTTGTCACGGCGCAACACATTGCTCCTTGCCTCCATCATGGACCCTTTGTTTGATTTCTGGGAACTGATCCTGGGATTCAAGTCTGTCTACTTGATCACAGTGTACAATGAGGAATCCTTTTGGCCGCAGTTTACAGAATACCCCACTGAGTCCTTTGTGTGATAAATGGAAAGGATGAGTTTAAGCTCATTAGTACAACCCTTTTTCCTTGAAGTCTGGCAGTGACAGTGTTAGGGTTGGGTTAGTAGTTCGGTGACATGGGGCATCTCTTCCCCATGGGGTCTCAAGTAATTTGCCACAGTCCTCAACATCACACCTGGTGTGATGGCATCCGAAGGAGGAAGCACAAGGACAGAAGCCCAAGGGCCTTGTGGGCCTCTCTCCTTTTATCAAAGAGAGAAGAAATCTTTCTAGACTTGAGTCACCCGCTTACCCTTAGCTACAAAGGATGTGGGAAGCGCAAGTATCCAGGCAAGATAAGTAGGTTTATCCTGACTGGCTCCCACCACCCTTGACTCATCTCTTGGGGCAGGGCATTCTGTTCTTTCTTTAGCATTGGGCTTAGAAGTTGGCTTCTGCCCTCAACAAAGAGGAAAGATGGCTCCCGAGAAGGTCCCCAGAGGTCTGCTGCAGATATTTCAGAACCTTCTTCCAGTCAAAAGGCATTTTGGGAAAGGGAACCTGGGACGTGCTCCTTGCCTCTGCTGCCGTCTGGGCCATGGAAGGTGTGGTGGGGGCAGAATAGGGACATCCCTGCTGTACCAGGGATCCTACAGTGCCTTTCTAGGGAAGGTGACAGCTGCTCGGACCAGAAGGGCAAATTAGAATGATAAGACAGAGAGAATGGAGGTGAACACACCATCTAGGGAACAGCACCTGCACAGGTGTAGTGGTTAGAGCGAGAAGTGTGAACACTGCTTAGTGCACTTCGAGTGTGGGGCCTCTGGGGGTACATGGAGAGAACAGCTGGGGCAGAGGTGAGCTGGGCCTGGCTGGGAAGGGCCTTGTAAGCTCTGTTAAGGACCTTAGAGTTTAGACCTAAGAGCAAAAGGAAGAGATTTAAACAGAGGAATGACATATCAGATTGTATTTTTTTTTTTTTAAAGATTTTATTTATTTGTCAGCGACAGAGGGAGAGCGAGCGAGCACAGGCAGACAGAGGCAGAGGGAGAGGGAGAAGCAGGCTCCCCGCTGAGCAAGGAGCCCGATGTGGGACTCGATCCCAAGATGCTGGGATCATGACCTGAGCCGAAGGCAGCCGCTTAACCAACTGAGCCACCCAGGCGTCCCTCAGATTGTATTTTTTAACTATTAAAAAAGCTAACTTTCTGCAGTGGGTAATAGGAGCACCCTCCAAATATCCATATCCTTTCTTTGAAAGAAACAATTTTTACTAATTGCACGTGTTGCCTTTCAAAGAGCTTTTTGCACATGAAAGCGTACACCCACAACACATACATGCATTTAATTTTTTTTTATTTAAACACAAATGGTAGCATACTTTGTCTTTTAATGTAATGTATACCTTAGTCTTTTAATGTAACAATAGATCTTGGAGATTGTGTCATATTTGTACATATCTAGCTGCCATATTTTTAAATTTTTAAATTTAAATTTTTAAATATTTAAAAAGACCCTGACACAATTTAACTTGTTTCCTATAGGTTGTACCTAGTCTTTTCTTCCAATCAATGTTGCATTGAGCCCCCTTGTATTTTTGTCTTTACATACTGTTCTATTTTTTGTCTAAGACACACAACTAGAAGTGGTATCACTTGGCCAGTGGTGTGTACATTGAAAATTGGGACTGAGTCCCATCAGCCTCCTTCCCCATAGCAGTGAAAGGTGGCTAACATTTTGTCACCTATATACCAGGCACTGTTCTAAGTGTCTATGAGCATTGTCTCATTAAATCCTTTGAGTGGCCCTGTGAAGTAAGGTTAGCACTGCTCTCATTTTCCAGATAAGGAGACTGAGGCCTAAAGACGTTTAACTTCTAAGAGACAGAGGTTTGGGCCCCAGGTGGTCTGCCTGCAAAGCCCAGACTCTTCTCTCCCAGCTGTGGGAGGCCTCTTGCCTCCACCATACCATTCTGCCATGCAGTCTATTATGTTGATGACCGGAGAGTTTGAAACAAATGGTTTCTTCAGCGTTCTCATTGGCATTCCTCTGACTGAGCGAGGCTGAGTGTTCACAGATACTTGAGCGTCACCTGTGTTCAAATCTGTGCTGTTATGGACCACGTGTGACCTGGAGGAGGGGTGGGCTGGGGAAGGCTGGGAGCTGGGAGAGGTGAGGGTATACTGGAGGCACCCACTCCCATGCCATCCGAGCATACTAGAAGGAGCTGGGGCATCAGCCAATAGCTACACAGGTCCCAGCTGCCCCTGTACTGCTTCCTTCTTCCCCTGTACTCTGGACTCCAGGGAGCCACACCCTCCTCACCTCCTGGTCTTTGGTTCATTCCAAAGGCCCTGGAGCCCACACAGCCAGCCCCTGCTGCCTTGTCTGATTCTGGGCTGCCCATCTCTGAGGACCAAGGCTCCTCTGGAGCTTTCCTTGTGCTCCTCCTCCTACTTCCTGGAGAACCCTAGAAATTTGATTTCCTGTGCTCTGTGCTTTGCCTACAAAAAGACCTTCCCTGTCCTCATCTCTCTCATCCAGCTGTTACCTCGGAAGGGAATAGGGTGACAGCTCAGGCTTGAAAACACTCTTGTCAGGAAAGATGGTACCATTCGTTGATTACCAGTTGTCTGCCGACATTTTCCAGCTTGAGACTCCGGCTCATACCATGAATCGGACACGGTTACCCTCAAATCATCTGTCCAGGGTCTGAGCCAAAGAGTGGGTAGTTTTCTATGACATTAAGTTAGATGATTTTTACTGGCCTTTGAATCAGACAGTTGACAGGCCATTAGTGAATTTAGTCTGGTCGTGCAGTGGCTGTTGTTTCAAGATATCTAACGAACAAATAGGGAAGTGTCTCACACAACTCCATATTGCAAAAGGAAATCCCCGTGCTTCCATGAAACAGACTGAGGTCTCAACACAGATTGTGTTATGGCAGAGTAGAACAAGAATAAACCTGGAACAGATTGAGAGCCCAATGAAAATAGCATAAACAGTGCAGAATTTTCTAGAAAAGTATAAATTATACGATATAACAAATTATTGGTGGCCACACGGAACTCCTCAGTGTTCAGCAGGCCTTAAGCACTGGTGGGGTCTTTTCCCTAGCGGTAGTTTCATGTATGACCACAAGGTGGCGGTCGTTACTGCTAGGTGATTTTATTTCTCCACCAGCACTAGGAACTGACGTTGGGAGTTACAGCTTCTGTTTTGCAGTAGATGTCTCCAAAGCAAAGGGTGAAAGGAATTTCACCCTGTCTTAAGTCTAGATGATAAAGTAGAGGGGAACCAACCTAAAGAATCAAGTGACTTTTTCTCCTGCTGAGCTAGAGAGACACAATTTTCATTTTGCTGTAGTTCATACTTCTCTCCCCCTTGCAAGGTATCAGACTCTATAATATACAGGCATTCATTTGCTGTGCATCTGTCCATCTGTCAGAAATCCCCAGGGACTATCCCCATTTGCTGTTGCAAAGCTAACTAGACAGAACAGAAAATGCCAACTACTGCAAGGAAGCCCGGCAGATCCATTACTTTGTAACCACTCAGTTTGGCAGGCTGTGGCCTCTAAAAAGACGCTAATCCCTGAGTTATGCTGAACTGTTAAGCTCAGCATTTAGAAGCCAGCGGAGGTGAGGTATTAGGGTCACACCCAGCTATCTGCAAAGTATCATCTCATTATAAAAACCCTTGGAGAACTGTTATTCCTCTAACGTCCTGCCCCTGGAATGAGTGTCTCTGGGGCCCAGAGACCGGGAGTGGGTAACTTGCAGAGGGTCACTTGGACTGTGAGTAGGGGGGACAAGGTTCATCTCCAGAGCAGGCTGACCCTGGAGCCGGCTCTGTGCCCTGACCCATCAGTGCACATTGTCCCTGATTGGTCCTCTGCGTCAGTACCTCCTCTCTGCCTCGGCTCCCCTCCATCCTGCTGCTATGGAAGCAGCATTGCCCTTGGACATGGAAGACCCGAGTTCTTCCAGCTTTGTTTTCCTTGGAGTAGCTTGAGCCTACCTTAAAATTCTTTTGAGCTTTAAAGTTCTCATAGTTTAAATGAAAGCAGGATCGTAGTGAGGACCAAAGGAGAGAATGCAGAAATGCTCTGTACGCGGGCAGCACTGTTCAGAAGTAAGACTCACTGCTGTGATGACTGCCTCCTTCTTTACACCAAAGAAAAACGTCCTGGGGCTTCCCAGGGCCAGCACAGACCCCATACAGAGGGTATAGTAAATATCCCAAAAGTTGAAATCTTAGAGCCACTCCTGTGCTTGGCAAAAACAGAAAAATAAATTTCAAATTAGCACATAATTTATCAAGTTTTCTTCTTAGGATTATGAGCTCATAAATTATTGCCTCCAATTCTTTCATGATAGTGCTTGTTACTTGCAAATATGTAATTAAATTGCCATCCTCATACATTTGCAATAGCATTATAAATCCTTACAGTTTGTGAATAGTTT